TCCCTGTTTCTTTAAGAGGCCTTAAAATAGGTAGTAGTGGTGGTAAACCTCATGCAAGTTTAGTTGCAGCACAACTGAATTCTTTAAATTTCGTAACTTTCTTTGAATTGCTTTTACAGACTTCTAGTGTGTATTCAAGGCAAGCACTATAGAAACAAAACCAATTTTTGGTTCCGTGATAGGTTTCTGGCTACAGTGAACCTATACGCAATTACACAGTGTGAGTTGCAGGTCAAAATGATATATTATCATCCGAAAGACCTGCCAGATGACCTTGAGTCTGCTGAAGGACACTTATGTGCCTATTCTAAACAAGGTCTGCTGGGAAGAAAGGGTAGAGGGCTTCGAAGAATGCTTATTCGTATCTGCCTGGGCCCCCTGCATAGGCAAATAGGTATAATGATTTTGCTAGCTTGCAGAGGTAGCAGTTATTTCATTCACTAGTCATATTGTTCCTCTTGGCATGATGTATTTGATTTCAAGAGGAACTCCAGGAACTGTAAAAATGAACCCTTGCAGAGGAGGGTAAACTGTTTGTTTTGTCCAGGGGGCTAAATAAAGACGGATTTACTTACCTGGTGTCATAAAGTGCTCTACAAAGTGGTGCTTCAGACTGAAATCAATGTGTGGACTATAAATGATGGGCCCCCTAGCTGGATATAGTATGCCACAGTTTCTTCGAGGTAAAACAAAGTAAGTCTGCCTTACCATGTCATGTCTGGTTATGCATACATTACCAGTGTTCTGATAATATAACACACTGTGGCGTCTACGCTGGGTATAGCAGTTGCTCCAACAGAAGTTTTCACAGAAAAAAACATTCTAAGTCCCTAACTATACCGAAGCAGACAAAAGGTGACACAATGCTCAGGTGTGAATTGGCACCATTTGATGCCGGGCTCACACCTAGGTGGCATCGTTTTTGCGCATTTGTACGTGTGTGGTCAGCGTGCAGTGTGCACGTTGATACGCGTTTGTATGCGCCTACATGAAGAGGCGTGTTTTGACTGCCAGCTTATGAAACATTGTGGGCAATGAGCAAATGCACGTACAAACGCACACAAAGATGTGCAACATGCTTCAGCCGGGCGTTTCCAGTGAAGTCTATGCCGCAAAAACGCGCCGTTAACTGCCCAAAGAAGCTCATGTACCTTTTCAGGCGTTTTCCTGCTAGTGTTTTGCTGCTCGGATGTGAACAGAGGCCACTGAAAATTATGTTATTCCTTATGTTGGTCATTTAAAATCGCTTTTCCAACTGCTCAAAAACGCCTAGGTGTGAATCAGGCCTGAAAAGAATGGGATTCTTTATGTTGAGTATTGTCACACTTCGGGAAACACGTGACAAAACACTCAGGTACGAATGAGGGCGAAAACTGCACTGGGCAGATCAACCCTCTACCCCACAAATACAGAGGAACATCTGACATCAAATGGAACAACATTCAGACACACTTTGTATAGTTGCCGCAGTAAGACCAGCAGGGATGTGATACTTATGTCCATTTTCAGACATCCCAACCTGCAAAACCTTATTTCAGGGAGGTTCCCTTTCTGTAGGTACCTGTGAGATGGTTGCCTGGGGTCAGAGGGCTCTGGGTTGTTGTGCCAGAAAAAAGGAAACTTCTCCTTTCGGGCTGATGTATCTCCACTATCAGTCTGCAACAGTACTTCCTGAAGATGTCGCCACCATATGCCAAAGTGTCTCCAAGAAAGAAGAACAAGCAGGAAACAACTTCTTGGAACTGTGTACCACTACCGTGCTCTAAGATGCATGTAAAAGATACTATACATGCACATTTACCTTCAGTCCCCCTCACACTATAAGGTGTACTCGTAGGACACCACACACGATTTAGAAACACGCTGATAATACAACTGTACAGAACATTTAGAAAGTTCAGGTGCCCTTGGTGGTACCGGAAAGCATACTTGAGTATATACTGTAGGTGTGATATTCTGAAAATGACGATGATATTGGATGGTTTTATTTGATATATTTTATATACACGAACATTTAAAGCACTTTAGTTGGAGAATTAAGCACATTGTGCTGTATTAGGTACTTTATTCTTGTGGAGTTTTTTTATAGATATATTAACCTGTTAACCTCCGCGGCGGTATGATTATGGAGGATTTTAGCATGCCAAAGCGGTACATTGTTTTTAATGGCAATTTGTTGTTTTATATTGTAGGCCTGTAATTCTTAGTAAATCTTAGGCCTGGTTCACACCTGGGCGTTTTACAGCGCGTTCCTACGCTCTGTAAAACGCTCAACATGTGAAAACCAATGATTGCCTATGGGCATGGTTCCCACCTGGGCGTTTTACAGCGCGTAGGAACGCACTGCAAAATGCCCTACACCCAAAGAAGTACAGGAGCTTCTTTGGGGCGTATTGGCTGCGCGTATCCATTGGGATACAGCCAGGTAGCGCTCGAATCGCGGTAAAACCGCGCGGCCCAAAACGAGCATATTCGATACGCCTATGTGTGAACCCAGCCTTAGGAATAACTCACCTAAATCTGTCCAAACAATAGTCCAGTAGACATCCCGGGTATGATAAAGTTTGAAAAACAAAATCATAAATTATAATATAATAAATAATTATAAGAAATAATATAATAAATAATTATAAGAAATTATAATATTAATAATTAAAAAAATGGTCCTGTAAATGGGAATTCTGGGGGCGCTGCCTGATCCGTACCACAGTCAATAGAGTACAGTAAAAGTGCAGGCAGGGCACTGGACAAAGCTCCAGGGACAACATTGAAGCGAAATAGTTTGATACATATATGTAATTAAAGCAGATTATATTGTATTGTGTGTATTCTGTGTAAATGTCATGTTTGCACTTTTGAATTTCCCGCCGGCTCCGCTGTGACGCCCGAAACTGAAAGCCGAATGCCGTCATCGGCCGGGCGAACACAGCAGAGGACACCGCGGGCTTGCAGGGACAAGGTAAGTGACACTTTTGCGCAATCCAGAGTGTGGCTCGGGGTTACCGCTCTAGGTACTGAAAATTAACCCCGAGCCACACTCGGGAATAGCGCCAGGGAGGTTAAGCTCAGTGCACTATTTATTTAAGCTTTTCTGAAAGTGTGATACACATGTTTAGCACAGCAGCTCACGAGGTTTCAATTCTTTTAATTAAATCCAAAGCGCAGATCATATACATTTTTGAGTGTTACAAACATAAAGTTGTCTTCAGAATAAAACTGCACGAACAATTCTTTTGCAATCGCACTGCACTGGAATACACGGCATTGCGGTACTGTGCGTTTCAGTGTGGGCTATCACAATGTGGATGGGTGGCACGTTTGGGATGCCATTGAAATGAATGGCAGTGCAACGCACCTCCCGCAGCAGAATTTGTCAGGCCGAAATCGAAAATGACTTTTTTTCCCACCCTTTAGAATTTTTTTTTTATAATTGCATTGTAAGCCCATGGCGCTTGAACAGCTTCAGCCGAGGAATGACAGCTATCAGTGGCAAGATTCTGCAGACGGCAGCCGAATGCAAATACAGCATGTAGTGGGCTGGTGCAATAGCCAGCCTGCTGTTGGCCATTTCAAATTGCAATAGCCAATAGCAGGCTGGCTATTGCACTTGCCCACTGCTTGCTGTGCCTTCCTCCCAGCGTGGAGGAGACAGCTAGGTGATCCAACCAACTAATCGGTAATGACAATAGTTGACAACTATTGTCATAATCAATCAATTCGTTGTTTGCAGCCCTACCTGGTTGTTGGGGGAGCGAGGGATATGGTAAGTAAAATTCATTTTTACTGGTACCCTAGGCAAAGATGAGCATTTATCTCTTGCAGTGTGGGAGGAGTGCCACGGGAAGGGGAGTTTTTTTTCTTCCCTGGAGTTCAGCTTTAAAGCAGCACAAGCTGCTGGCGCTATATAAGCCCTGCATAATAATACAGTAAACATCCAGTCCTCCACTGGGATCGGTAGATGCCGGATAACTGTAGTTTCTGGTTGCTTGAGAGTTACAAACCCCCCCCTCTCAGGTCTGCTTCTCTGGGGTTCTCTTTCAGGTCCGCTTCTATGCTCAGTGGCCGCGTGCACTAGCCAGCCTGCTACTGGCTATTGCAATTGGAAATAGCCAATAGCAGTCTGTCTATTGCTCCCCTTTAGTTACATTGTGTTGCTGAACACGGAATCGAGCCACCGGCAGGCAGCAAGATGTAAACAAAGAATTCACTAAATGGATTTAGTTGGTAACAAACATTTTTAGTGTGCACATGTCTATCAAAAAAAAGCAAGGGCATATTATGTCCTCAAATTTGTTTTTGCTGGTTGCTTGAATGGCATTATATGGGGAGTTTACTGTAGTAGTAATAGTGACATCACTGTGCTGTACATAGCCTGTACAGAGAGCAATGCTGTGGGAGGAGCCCAAAGGCTCCACCCACCACAGTCTACCTGCAAGAGGGGACAGATACAAGACCAGTCACCCTGCACAAAGAGCAGTGACCGGTCTTTATTATAGGAAGGTTTTATGTTGAATTACTGTACAAATCTGGAAGACAAACATAAAGCACACCAAGATTCAAGTAAGAACGTACATGCCTCTTGTAAAAAAAAAAATATTTTCTTATCCCAAAGTTCAGCTTATAAAAAGAGTGGTGAGGCGTTAGAACTTCTGTTGTTTTTTTCTGTCCATGCCTTCCTGTCCTAGAGACAACCATTTCTGTATGTTTTGAACAGGTGTCACAGGGCCAGGAAGTGGTAGAAAATGCCCCCAATGGGGTCATAGCCCGAAATAATAACAGAAATTATAACTCTTACCCACTTTACTGAAAACAAGTATAGAGTTGTGCTTACAGTAGTGTTTTCATGTGCCTATATTGTAGAATCCGAAGAGGGTCAGCCTCTTGTACACTGAGATCAGTGCAGGCTCCAGGCTGCACACACTTACACTACATGCAGCATCTCCATCACTTGTCAATCACTATGCACAGTCACTAGAAGTCAGTAACAGATCACAATTTACCCCAATATCAGGCTGCCAGTCTGCATGTTCTTCCTAATCTCCAATCGTACCCTAGTGCCCATGTTCAGCGATCCCGCCACCGTAACAGCATGCAGGAAGCTCTGCCAGACTGTGATCTCTGCTCACAGACGGCTATTACAGCGCCCCCTCTCGGCCTATGACACACACTGCAGCCTAGGAGCCTCTGCAGCAATCCTACGAGCTGTCATCTGCGCACCAGGTACATCCACTGAACGCACGCTTCAGATGGTACCATGTAACAGCGATCACAAAGCAAACCTTTACAATTGAATGATCGCACTGATTGATCTGTGTGAACAAATCCTCGACCTCCTTAACGCATGGAAACGGAATACGATTTACAATGACCTAGTATGGGCAAAACTCCGTTATCAAAGATGGCGTATGGGAGTTAAAGAGTTGGAATTTACTTCCTGTCGCATACTCCTGACGTCAGTCACCCCAAGCTGGTTTGGTTTCCAGATGCATGCCGGGAGCTGTCAGCTGAGCGGCGCAGCACTGCACAGGTGAGAGCCCACAGAGATGCTGGGATGGGGCAAAGGTCACAGGGGACCGGGAAAGGTGACACTGGGGGCAGCGAGGACCTGTCATCATTCCCTGGTACAGGCTGGAGATTTAGATCTGCGGTATAAAACAGGGGACATGATATCTAGGGTGATAGATATTTATAGGAGCACATGTCATCTTGTGCCAGGATCACACCTCTCTGCCTGGATAATAATTGGTCCTACAGCTTGCCAGTCTCTTGTGTATGATCAGGTAAAATTATCACTGCTTAACACTGGAAGAATATGGTATTCCTGGGGTAGGTAACCTTGGCACTTCAGCTGGTGTAGAACTACTAGTCCCTTAAGTCATTGCATAACTCTGATAGCCACAGGCATGATGGGATTTGTAGTTTTAGCACAGCAGAAGTGGCAAGATTGCCTACCCCTGTGTGAACACTAAGACCAAACCTCGGTGAATAATACAGATCTTTTGGATGTACAACGGTATTCATTGTAATAGGCGGAACAGCGATATTCATTGTAATAGGCGGAACGGCGATGTTCATTGTAATAGGCGGAACGGCGATGTTCAATGTAGTAGGCGGAATGACAGGCGATATTAATTGTAACACAACCCCAATTCCCAAAAAGTTGGGATGCTGTGTAAAATCTCCATAAAAACAGAATACAATGATTTACAAATCTCATAAACCCAGATTTTATACACAATAAAAAAATAGAAAACATATCAAATGTTTAAACTGAGAAAATTTACAATTTTTAGAAAAAAAATAAGGTAATTTTGAAATTGATGGCAGCAACACAGCTCAAAAAAGTTGGGACAGGTCAACAAAAAGCTGGCAAAGGAAGTGTTACTAACAAGGAAGAGCTGGAAGAACATTTTGCAACTAATTAGGTTCATTGGCAACAGGTCAGTAACATGATTGGGTATAAAAAGAGCATCTTAAGGTGCCCATACACCTTGCGATTATTGTAAGATAATCGCTGGAAATCCTGCGATCGTGCGATAATCGCAAGGTGTATGGAAGGCGTGCAACCGTTTCTACTGTACGGTCGCACGTCTTTTGTCTAACGAGCATGTTTGAAAACCCGCCGAGAATCGTACGATTGTTGGCGGGTTTGTGGCATGCTCAGGAGACAAATGCCGAACGGGCCGGTGTGAGCAAGCGCACACTGCCCGTTCAGCATTGCAGTCATCAGAATGATGAACGCAAGTACAATCTGCCTGTCCAAGATAGGCAGATCGTTCGTGTTTTTTTAAAAATTACCTTACAACCATCGCAATACAAAAGTCTTGTGATGGTTGTAAGGTGCATGGGCACCTTTTAGAGAGGCAGAAGTAAAGATGTGCAGAGGTTCACAAATATCAAAAGCTGCATCTAAAAATTGCCAAACAATTTCAGAATAATTTTCCTCTAGGTAAAATCACAAAGACTTTAAATATATAATAATCCACAGTGCATAATATCATCAATAGATTCTAAGAATCTGGAGAAATCCTGTGTGCAACAGACAAGGCCAAAACACAATATTGGATGCCCGTGATCTTTGAGCTCTCAGATGGCACTGCATTGAAAATAAGCATGATTCTGTGATGGGCTCAGGAATACTTCTAAAAATCAAAAAATCACCGTCAGTGAACAAAGTTCGCCGTGCCAGTTAAAGCTCTATGATGGAAAGAAGAAGCCATATTTGAAAATGATCCAGAAATGCTGCCATCTCATTTGGGCCAAAAGCTCATTTAAAATGGTCTGTTGCAAAATGGAAAACTGTTCTGTGGTCACACAAATCGAAATGTGACATTCTTTTTGGCAACCATGAGTGCCGCGTCCTCTGGAATAAAGAGGAGAGGGACCTTCCGGCTTGTTATCAGCGCTCAGTTCAAAAGCCTGCATGCTCTGATGGTCTGGGGGTGCATTAGTGTGTACAGCTTACACACCTGGAAAGACAACATCAATGCTGAAAGGTATATCCAGGTTTTAGAGCAGCATATACTCCCATCCAGATGACATCTTTTTCAGGGAAGGCTTTGCATATTACAGCAGGACAATGCTAAACCGCATACTGCGTCTATGTCAACAGCATGGCTTTGTAGTAGAAGAGTCAGGGTGGTTAACTGGCCTGCTTGCAGTCCAGACCTTTTACCAACTGAAAATATTTGGCACATCTTGAAATGTAAAATACAACAAAGAAGACCCAGGACTGTTCAGCAGTAAGACTCCTATATCAGGCAAGAATGGGACAACATTGCTCTTCCAAAACTCCAGCAACTGGTCTCCTAAGTTCCCAGATGTTTACAGGGTGTTGTTATAAGAAGAAGGGATGCTACACTGTGGTAAACATGTCCCTGTCCCAACTTTTTTGAGACGTGTTGCTGCCATCAATTTCAAAATGACCTTATCTTCTTCTTAAAATGGCCCATTTTCTCAGTTTAAGCATTTTGATATGTTTTCTATTGTGTATAAAATCTGGGTTTATGAGATTTGCAAATCATATCATTCTGTTTTTATGTAGATTTTACACAGCATCCCAACTTTTTCGGAATTGGACTTGTAGGTAGAAGCACAATATTCATCGTAATAGGTAGGATCCCAATATTCATTTCATAGGAGGAATCCCGATATTCATTTCATAGGAGGAATCCCGATATTCATTTCATAGGAGGAATCCCGATGTTCATTTAATAGGAGGAATCCCGATATTCAGTTAATAGGAGGAATACGATATTTATTTTAATAGGAGGAATCCCGATCATTATTAGGAGGAATCCCGATATTCAGTTAATAGGAGGAATCCCGATATTCAGTTAATAGGAGGAATCCCGATATTCAGTTAATAGGAGGATGAAAAACAAAAAAGGGCTTGTTATGTACTAGTGACAATGCTGTTCAGGTCACCAGACTGATATGCAGAAATATGACAGCCGATGAATCATTTTTGTTGGGTGGAGCTATGATCAGTAGGTGTGTATCTCAGAAGAACGTATTCAAGAGGAATCCCGATATTCATTTCATAGGAGGAATCCCGATATTCATTTCATAGGAGGAATCCCGATATTCATTTCATAGGAGGAATCCCGATGTTCATTTAATAGGAGGAATCCCGATATTCAGTTAATAGGAGGAATACGATATTTATTTTAATAGGAGGAATCCCGATCATTATTAGGAGGAATCCCGATATTCAGTTAATAGGAGGAATCCCGATATTCAGTTAATAGGAGGAATCCCGATATTCAGTTAATAGGAGGAATCCCGATATTCAGTTAATAGGAGGATGAAAAACAAAAAAGGGCTTGTTATGTACTAGTGACAATGCTGTTCAGGTCACCAGACTGATATGCAGAAATATGACAGCCGATGAATCATTTTTGTTGGGTGGAGCTATGATCAGTAGGTGTGTATCTCAGAAGAACGTATTCATTGTAAGTGACCTGGTTTCAGCACCTTGCACCTAGCGAAAGAATTGAAAGATAAAGCCATACAAATGATAAGGCTAGAAGTATGTCTTTGTGAAATAGATTGCAGATGTGTTATCACTAAGCACAGTTCAGCTACAAAGGAAACCTCTAGTGAGAAAAGATAGTCTGTCACTGCTGACAACTTTCTAAACATGCTATTTACCTGGCTATACAAAACACCTGGCTAGATGCACTGGGGGTCCCAGCGTGCATTTTTGATTGCTGGGCCTCCAATGCGTCCCTGCACCTTTTGAGGAGGAGAAGGCAACCTCCGGGTAATCCTGCATTTAATTTATTGACTGCATTAATATGCTCCCACTTGGAAAATCATATAAATAGAGTTAGGACCACACTTTACAGAGGTGCCTTGACGGGGCGGTGAGGCTTCTACATATTTTTGGCCAAAGGTTTGTGCAACTAAAACCTCTGATTTTACCGCATACTGTTGACAGGGTAATTTGTTTTGTTGCAGGCTAGCTGGCAGGTGTGCTGGGGACTTTTTTGTGTTTTTGTATTGTTGTAAGCCTTCTCATGTGCACCCTGCTACAAAGCCTGGTTATAAATGTATGCTACCATCTTTTACTACTTACCTGGCTATCTCTGGCTTCGATTTTCACTGACAAAGTGACCTGAAACAAGCATGCAGATTAGAAAGTCATAGTGCCTGGTACAGGACTCGGAAAGTACAGAAGCCATAGGATCAGTATAATAGCTAAGGTACTAGTAGTTTCAGGGCAGTCAGCAAAGGTATACTGTACTTCATACTTCTCAATACAGATTACTGTTCAGAGCTGAACTCCAGAAAATCAGCCACGTACACATACACATGAGAGCTGTTGTATCATCCCATGATTTGTATTTCTATCCATGTATTCCTATGTCATGTACGGAGCGTACTGGTTTTAGTCAGTCAGCCAACTCCTAGCTTGTGCAAAAGTCCAAAGAACTTTAGAAAATTAATAAAGATATCTATCTTAGCTGGTTATAATATTCCTACAGGCTTGATGTGTCTATACAGGAGAGCATATTTTTGAGTTTTCAAAAAGTGAAGCAATACAATATATTTTATTGTCCTTAACCACTTCAGTACCGGCATGTTACACCCCCTTCA